CCCCTGCCGCCTCTTTCCCCTGCCGCCTTCTTCCCCTGCCGCCTCTATCCCCTGCCGCTCCTCCCCTGCCGCCTTCTTCCCCGCCGCCTTCTTCCCCTGCCGCCTTCTTCCCCGCAGCCTTCATCCCATTCCGGCTCCTTCCCCGCCGCCTCTATCCCCTTCCCCCTCCTCCCCGCAGCCTTCTTCCCCGCCGCCTTCCTCACCTGCCGCCTTCTTCCCCGCCGCCTTCCTCCCCTGCGGCTCCTCCCCTGCCGCCTTCTTCCCCGCCGCCTTCTTCCCCGCCACCTCCTTCCCCGCCGCCTTCATCCCCGCCGCCTTCTTCCCCTGCCGCCTCTATCCCCTGCCGCTCCTCCCCTGCCGCCTTCTTCCCCGCCGCCTTCTTCCCCTGCCGCCTTCATCCCCTGCCGCCTTCATCCCCTGCCGCCTCCTCCCCTGCCGCCTTTATCCCCGCCGCCTTCCTCCCCTGCGGCTCCTTCCCTGCCGCCTTCTTCCCCTGCCGCCTTCTTCCCCGCCACCTCCTTCCCCGCCGCCTTCATCCCCGCCGCCTTCATCCCCTGCCGCCTCTATCCCCTGCCGCTCCTCCCCTGCCGCCTTCTTCCCCGCCGCCTTCTTCCCCTGCCGCCTTCATCCCCTGCCGCCTTCATCCCCTGCCGCCTCCTCCCCTGCCGCCTTTATCCCCGCCGCCTTCCTCCCCTGCGGCCTACTTCCCTGCCGCCTTCCTCCCCTGCCGCCTTCTTCCCCGCCGCCTTCCTCACCTGCCGCCTTCTTCCCCGCCGCCTTCCTCAACTGCCGCCTTCTTCCCCGCCGCCTTCATCCCCTGCCGCCTCTATTCCTTGCCGCTCCTCCCCTGCCGCCTCTATCCCCTGCCGCTCCTCGCCTGCCGCCTTCTTCCCCGCCGCCTTCATCCCCTGCCGCCTCCTCCTCTTCCGCCTCCTTCCCTGCCGCGTATATCCCCTTCCCCCTCCTCCCCTTCCGCCTCCTTCCCTGTCGCCTCTATCCCCTTCCCCATCCTAACGCACTGGATGACTGTACTGTGCCATATCAAGACCATCGGCAAGGGCAACCTCCTATCCCTAAAGAGGATCAGCACGGCATGGAAGGAGGTCGAAGCAGCTCTCCTTAAAAGCATGAAAACGTGCATGCAGAATTTGCATTCGTTGGTGTAATTAGCGAGTTTATACACACCCCGAGCCTGGGGCCATGGGCGGGCTCTACAGCCCTGCAAGGCTTGTGTTGGTGAGGCAATCTTTACAATTGTACACTCGAAGTGTTTGGTGAACATGTATGTTTGTATGTGTAGACATGTGAGCTTGATACAGGCATATGCATGGATGGAAGTGTATAGAGAGGCATGCAAATATTTTTTTACATAGGCGAAATAGGCATACGTGCTCACATAGATGGATGAGACAGCTGTGATAGCATGTGTAGGCAGGTTGGACAGGGACATGCTTACAATCCATTGACA